CCTGCCAGCAGTTCCTGAAGTAATTCCTGCCTGCAGCGGAATTAGCAGCATTTCCAGCCAGCAGCCGTCACCAGGTCAGGTCGTCTCTCTCTCTCTCTCTCTCTCTCTCTCTCTCTCTCTCTCTCTCTCTCTCTCTCTCTCTCTCTTTCTCTCTCTATTCGCGAGTGCGTGACGCGTCGGCGAAGTGCTCCCGATTTTCCTCGAGCACGGCGAATTTTACGAACAGAACGAGTCTCTCCTTTGTAATCCTCTCAAATTATTGTACCGTGCCCCCGAGCGATTGTCCGCACGGGCGCAGGCACGCGGCCGTCGAGGACGACGCGTGAACGTTGATTGTTTTTTTCGATTGTGAAGGTGTTGTACATCACGAATATGCACCAACAGGTCTAACAATCAATAAAGAATAGTACTTTCAAATTTTGAAACGTTTGCGTGATGCAGTAAGAAGAAAACGGCCGCACTTTTGGAAAAGTGGTGACTGGCTTCTCCATCACAATGCGCCAGCTCATTCATCCAATCTTACTAGTATGCAGCAGTTTTTGAGGAAACACAATATCGCATTGCTTCGACAACCTCCATACAGTCCCGACATAGCCCCTTGTGACTTTTGGCTGTTTCCAAAACTAAAAAAACCAGTCAAAGGACACCGATTCGATGACAAAACTATGGTTGAAAACAATGCGACGAGTGTACTTTAGGCTATCCCTAAAAGTGAGTTCCAGGACTGTTTTGAAAAGTGGAAACGTCGATGGAACCGTGTTATTCAATTAAGTGGGGACTACTTTGAAGGATGCCACCCACCAGATGATAAAGAATAACGCTAGCACGAAAATATAAAGGTAGGCTCGATACTTTCCGGACAGACCTCGTACATTAGATTTCTATGTTTCATTTGAATGCCATAAAAAAGCATTGATCATACACATTGTAAAGATATTTAAAAATATTTAAAGCAAATTATTAAACCAGTGAATGAAACTGTTGAATTAACTTAGATATTAATGCTCGTTAATATATGAGTAAATATCGGTAAGTGAAAAGGCTATAAAATTCACAGACAGAATTACGTAATTAAAAAGAACGAACAATCATAGTTCGATATTATGAGAAAAACTATACTATCGGATTTGAATCATGCATACATTTAGTTTATAATGGTAAATTAAATTGTTTCGACTTACTATGTTCACTTTTTGTTAGAAAATGAGTTTTTTGTACATCAAACACAATAAACGCGCTCTAGAGATAACGACCCTGCCTCTGAATTCATAGTTCTTAAATAGAAAATATAGCATACTCGTTAATCTTTAGAGTCACGAATATCAGTCATAAAACCAGATCAGAGCTACTGGCCTTTGTTGATTAATATTCAAGGCATATCTTAAGTTTTTAGCTAGATGAAGTCAGATAGATTTTTTCCTGCAGTTTCAAAGTTAGCAAAAAATGCGATTTTTACAAAAATTATTAATTTTGAAACAACATACGTCCGTCAATTTTCCGTCTAGAAAATTGCGTAACAGCTCATTTTTTGTCTTTTCAAGAGCTTTCTAACACATTTTTGTGATCTCAAAAATATTAGAAACTGACATTTCTACAGGGTCTTAAATATGGTCCGAAATCGAAAAAAATACGTCATTTTTATAAGCCGCTAAGAGACTTGATGATAGAATAAACTATATATTAAATAACATCAATGGAAAGCTCTTAAAAGAGAAAGAGAATGAGCTCCTGTCTGATTCTGTAGCTTTAAAACTCGAAATTTAAGAGGCGATAGAAGACGGATCAAAAAATACTAAAAAAAGAGCTATTTTTAATCTTTGAACTGGTTTATAAAGTGCAATTATTCAGTGGATAATTTTGGTTACATTTCATTTATTCTACCGAAGGATGAAGCAAACTAAGAGAATAATAAAAACCGAAACATCACGATGTCAACAAAGCTGACTCAAAATCCAAGATCGGTACAACCTACTCCGCTTGCAAGAGAGCTCACGCACTACCCATATAGATACGCATCAGTCTACTTCTATCGATGAAAAACCGAAAGAAAGAAGAGGCAAAGGGGGGTGTCTGAAACAAGAGAGAAAATCTAAAAGAGTGTTGAGTCGTGGCCAGCTATGGAAGTCCTATACCTGCGCTGATAAATTTAAACCCCGTTATTCAGTCTCAGTTATGACTTTATCTTCGGAAGTTGCTTTTAAGTTTTGTTCAACCAAGTCTTACTTAATGTATGAGGTGTGTTCAAAAAGTACCCGGAATTATCGTTTTTCCAAAAAAATATTTATTTATTCGCTTACATCAATGTGGTCCCCTTCAAAGTAATCCCCCCAGATATAATATACTTATGCCAGCGTTTTTTCCAATCTTCGAAGCACTCTTGATATTCACTTTTTGGTATGTCCTTGAGCACTCTCAGCGATTCAGCCTTTATTTCTTCAATCGAGGAAAAACGCCGTCCTTTCATGGGTCTCTTCAACTTTGGGAACAGGAAAAAGTCACACGGTGAATATTTGGTGAATATGGAGTTTGGGGCACGACTACGGTATTGTTTTTGGCCAAAAAATTACGAACAAGCAACGACGAGTGAGCAGGTGCGTTATCGTGATGCAAAAGCCATAAATTGTTTTTCCATAAATCGGGGCGTTTTTTTCGGATTGCTTCACGCAAACGTCGCATAACTTCAAGGCAATACTCCTTATTAACCGTACGACCTTGTGATAAGAACTCATGATGCACCACGCCCCTGCAGTCGAAGAAAACTGTAAGCAAAACCTTCACATTTGATCGAACTTGACGTGCTTTTTTCGCTCTTCGTGACGTTGAATGCTTCCAGGTGGACGATTGTGCTTTGGTTTCGACATCATAACGTACACCCATGTTTCATCACCAGATATGACCCTTTCAAGCAAACTTGGATCGTCGTTGACGTCGTTTAACAGCTCCTGAGCGATGTTCATGCGATTGTTTTTTTGGTCAAAGTTTAGCAGTTTTGGAATGAATTTTGCTGCCACCCGTTTCATGCCCAAAACATTTGAAAAAATATTATGACATGAGCCAATTGATATGCCAACTTCATCAGCAACTTCTCTAATTGTGATTCGGCGATCATTCAGAACCATTTTTTCCACTTTTTTCACATTTTCATCGATTGTTGACGTGCTGGGTCGACCGGAGCGTTCGTCATCTTCAACGTCTCCGCGGACATCTTGGAAACGCTTATACCACTCGTAAACAGTTGTTTTTTTCATAGCAGACTCACCATAGGCTTTTTGTAACATTTCACACATTTTGTTGCACTTTATTTCATTTTTTACGCAAAATTTAATACAAATTCTTTGATCCATTTCTTTTAAAAAACGAAAATCGCCGAGCTCATAAAAACACGTCAAACCTTAGCGTCTACCGCAGACAAAGTAAATAGTGAATATAGCTGAAAATTTTATCATACTTCAGGGGTATGTATACCAACACAATAAAAAAAAATTTTGACAATCGGACTCTCCAGACCCGCGAAATTTAAAAATTCCGGGTATTTGTTGAACACACCTCGTACTGTAACGGGGTAGCTATCCGTTTATTCAATTTATGCGCACGATCGTATCGAAGAGCGCGCGGGATTATCTACACGTTCAAATTCGAAAATCGGAGAGCAGGAGGGAATGGGTGTCAGTCAACCAACTATTTACCAGTGAGAAATAACTACATCAGAATTACGATCAATATCACAAGCGAGATCGTTTATTGCCTCTTAAGTCTACAATGTATTCGGCCCACGTGTTTATGTTTACAAGACGCGCACGCGACAACAACATGCAGTGTCGGATCGCTCGCCGCTCTTTGTTCGCCGAGTTATTACATGCACGGTTCTTATTGAGTATGCGAGATTAGTTAATAATAATTATAGTAATCGCGGAATTAAGCTGGTCAGCTTACCTTATTAGCAGTTGTACGGTAGCAATATTTAGTTAGCCCTCGATGGCGAAACTGCTCACTCACGCACACTAGCACGCACTCGTTCTGGTCTGGGTCAGGCTCAGCTCCTTATATCTTTGTCTCTGCATTCCGAAAAAACTCGGGAAAAACTCTGGTCCTTCTTAGCAGTAGCTGAGTGTGCGGGTTCTAATCTTCCACTGGTTCGCTTTCATACGCGCGCGTTCCGTCTCGTCTCGTGCCGAATTCCCTCATTACATTTTGCCCCAACCGGCAGGTGCTGCCCTCGTCGGCAGCCGCATGGTTGGGCTGTTAGCGCTAATAAGACGTTTACCGTAACAGTACCTAAATTAATTAGCGCCTTTCGCGCGCTAATCTTTTCTTCGAGTAAACATTAATTTTGCTTTTGCATTGAATCTAATTGCGTCAAATTACTGCTTTTATCAATCATGACTTAGTTAATATTTTTTTGTTCTTTTTATTTTATTTATTTCATTATTAGTGAGGTAAAATTCTGCCTCTTCAGAGTATATGATTTTTGATTTTGTTAATTTCTTTATTGTTTTTGTATTGAATAAGTCCAAGATATCATTTAATTGATTATCATATATATTGATTACGATTACCTACCCTCTTTAGCCAAATATATTGTCTAACAATAGGAATATGTCTACCCTGGTATGAGAGGTAAGACAAAAAGTACACTTTTTGCGAACATGAAGAGGCACTACTGCAACTCAAATTATTGATCTAAGATGCCTGGCGCCCTAATTACTCACACTGGCTGCGCTTAGAATTTTTAAACAGAATATTATGATAAAGTAACGACTTTTTCATTTTGTTTCATTTTATTTTTTACAATAAAGTATCTGAAAAAATTAACAAATCTGTTAAAGAAACCACAAAATTCGTTTTTTTTATTGCCTCCACCGATAAAGCATGGCTACAACTAAAATAAAACTATGTCAGGCGAAAATACCAATCACACACTCACACACACATATATATATATGTATATGTATATATATATAGATATATTTATATTTATTAATTTTTTTTTCTCTTTACAGCAATGTGACGCCTCTAAGCAAAATGATAGTAATCAGAATTTACACACTAATGAAGTTTATGGCACGCCTCTGGTCTGATGGAAACCATTACGTCTAATCCCAAAACTCTGGAACTCTACACTCTAATCTAGTTTTTACTGCGTCTAGCTCCATTCCATCTTGATTAATCAAATTTTATAAAGGTGGCAGATGTCAAAAGCGGAAAATCGATCTTGGACAAACTATTTAACTAGCCACCATCACAGTATTTTTAAACAATCTCTCTGATTTCACTTTACTCTTTTTTTTCAACCTTTTTCACAGAATTTTTTTCCTATTCTTTTATCTTACCTTGTTGTATATCATTTCTGGCACATATATAAACGATTTCATAAAACCACTAACTTTTTAGAAACTGCGGTGACATAAGTTCAAAAGTATATTTCGTATTCCTGCAATGACATATTCCTAATGAAATGTAGACTACTAAGTTGTATAAATATAATAATGATCTAAATGTTTGTGGTATGGATATTAAAATACTTGTTTTTAATATATAGCTAAGTGTCTTTGTTAGAGCTTCTTTTCAAGATTCATAGAATATTAATAAAAATAAGTTTTTTTCTATCAGTTCTTTGGTACATTCAATCTTGTAAAAGTAACGTTTTAAGTCTTGATCGGTAGATGTGATTTTTTATTAAGAGAACCAGCTGGTATTAAATTGTGAAAATTATAAGCTTCGTTTACTGTCGTAAAAAAAACCTCATATTAAAGTTATTATGAAAATGTTTCCTTTTATTTTCTTTTTCGAGTCTTACATTTTTATATAAAGTGGCTTGCAAGACCCTATAACACCTTAATTTTTGAAACAGTTAGTTATAGATCTTAATATTATTATCTATTAAATATGTTTGTAATTGTTTTTTATTTTGCATAATAGTATAATTTATTATTATTATTATATTTTTATTACATTTGTATTATAATTTTTATAATTGAACAAAACTGTATATTTTGATTTTAATAATAATAAAAATCTATAAATATTCATATTTTGGAATACTTTGTCATAATGAATTTAATTTCTTTTAAAATATCTATTGATAAAAAATTTGGAACTGGCTGCTACTCTAAGATTCTGGGTTTTGCTATAAACGTTCCAGTTAATACATTAAAATCATTCTCTGGTATCTAGAAATAACAAATATTTGTATTTAAAGTAGTAAAAATCTGAGACTATCAATGAAAACGAAATAATAGTAAAGATCTCAGACTATTTATAGAAACATAATAAGAATAAAAATCTGAGTATATCAATCTAAATAAAATCAAAGTAGAGGTTTGGTATGATCACGCATTTTTTTAGTTGTAGATGAAATAGTCTTAGATTTTTAATGCTATTACATTTATATAAATCATTCTAATAAATTTTTTCCAATAAAAGCTTATACCGGGTGTCCACAACCACCCGTCCACCCCTTTTATTTCTTTAGCAACACGTTTTTAGGAAATATGATATATACGAAAGTTTTAGCAAATCAATCAAGGATTTTAGCGGTGTCCTTTAGTTTGACCTTGAAGTTGATTTTCAAGGTCATTTCAAGGTCAAATTTCGTTTTTTAAATAGGAACCCCTATTTTTTATACTGGATTCTGAAAGAACACGAAATTTTGAGTAAAAAGTGTTTCCAGTATTTTTTTTATTAGACGCATATTTAGCGAGAAAAAAATTCAGAAAGAATCTTGCCATTGGTTTATTTTTATTTTATTTTTATAATTTATTTTATAAAAAATTTTTATTTTTATAACAAATCAAATAAATAAACTGTAATCTGAATAAACATAATAAACTAGCTTTTTTATGAAAACATAAATAATGTCCATTCTTGTTTCCCTAAATAAACTTTTTTTTTATTGGGTTATTTATTTTAGTGTTCGAAATGCGCTCCACCTTGCAAAATGCATGCCTGCACTCTAGCTTCAAAATTATCAACAGCTCTTCTAATTTCTGCTACTTCAAGCGAGCGGATTGTTTCTGTGATTCTGCGAATCATGTTAGCCCGCGTAGTTGGACGCTCACGGTAAACTAAATCTTTTACTCTTCCCCATAAATAATAATCTAATACTGAAAGGTCCGGGGATCGAGGTGGATAATTGACAGGACCGTACTTTCCAATCCACTTATTCGGAAATAAACGATTCAAAGCTCTTCGAATGATAAGCGCAGTGTGCGAAGGACATGCATCTTGCTGGAACCACATGTCACGACGTATCTCAAGATTAACATTTTCTAATAAAGGGGCTAATTCTCTTTCTACAAGATGGAGATATCTAAAGCTATTAAGGTTTCCTTCGAAAAAAATTGGGCCTATGATTTGGTTATCGATAATGCCGCACCATACATTAACTTTCCAAACCCGTTGGTGGTCTTCCATTCTCAGCCAGTGCGGATTTTGCGCTGCCCAATAACGAAAATTCTGCGTATTAACTTCACCATCACTTTTGAAAGTACATTCATCCGAAAAGAGTACGATTCGATGAAAATTTTCTCTTTGGCCACTCGCCCAGTTGCAGAATGCAAGACGTTGTTCAATATCAACATTATTCAGATCTTGATGTAATTCCATTTTGTAGGGATGAAATTTATTGCTCCGAAGAATAACACTGATAGTGGATTTGCTTATACCAGAATCACGTTCCCGGCGCCTTACAGAATCATTTGGCTCAATGATTGCTGATGCGACGATATCCACAGACCGTTCATCTCTAATTCGTCGGCGAATTTTCCTTCCCTTATTGTGATGAGGTTGGACAAGTCCTTCATTCTTGATTCTTCTAGATAGACGCGAAAATACTTTACGAGAATGAGGAAATCTGTTGGGGTAACGCTCTTGCCACAACCTTTCAGCAGCAAGGAATGACCCAGCTTCAAATAAAACTTGCAACATGTCGTGCGCTTCTTCTTTGGAATACACCATAGGTACCTATTTGAAAAGAAAATAAATCTAATTTGTCATTTAGTAAGAGAAACGCAATAAAATGGTTCAAATTCTTTCCGAGTTAAAACTTACCTCTGAAAATGATGAATTTATAATTTATTTCTTTAATGATAGATAATTTCCAACGTCGGGTTTAATTACGAAATCACCTCTGACAAAGTAAACTTAATTTTGCATAGTATTCGTACCGAACATTGCATTTTGACTACTCGAATTTAAAAAGAAAATTTTCATTTTCTTTTATTTATAATTACTACTAGGTGGTACATTTTTACAATAAAGATTTTTAAACAAAAGTTTCATACCTAGATATTTTTTTATGTGGAATCGATGTAAAATCAAAATCCACGATAAAAAAGTACTACACCATTTAAAAAAACTGACTTCCTGTCCCAGTAGGCTACTTTCGGCCGGAAGTGAATGTTAAAAGCATCACCAATCAATAGGCACAATGCACTTACTAGCACAAGACTTCGAATTTTACTATTCGCTGAATAGGTATTCTACCTAGATTTTAGAAGAATTAGACGGATGGTATGGACACCGGTATCACTGAATTTTTTTCTCGCTAAATATGCGTCTAATAAAAAAAATACTAAAAACACTTTTTACTCAAAATTTCGTGTTCTTTCAGAATCCAGTATAAAAAATAGGGGTTCCTATTTAAAAAACGAAATTTGACCTTGAAATGACCTTGAAAATCAACTTCAAGGTCAAACTAAAGGACACCGCTAAAATCCTTGATTGATTTGCTAAAACTTTCGTATATATCATATTTCCTAAAAACGTGTTGCTAAAGAAATAAAAGGGGTGGACGGGTGGTTGTGGACACCCGGTATACCTCACAGTAAATATAAGGTTGGTAGATGCTTATCCTTTTCGCTCCGGGACTGGTCCATATATGGACCAACAAGAAAAGCGAGCGTCATAGATGTTTATAAGGATAATTTAATGCAGTAAATTTAGGAAAAATATTGAAGAAATCCTGGCTACTTCTTTGACCTTCAAAATTAACTTTGAAGGTCAAACAATGAAAATGCATATTTGTTATTGAAAATTAGTATACCTACGTTTTATGAGTCGCTGAATACGATAAAATTAGTAAAAAAAAAGGTTAGTGACTTTTTTGACCTTGAACTTTGAAGGTCAAACAAAGTTTAAGATCAAAGTGATCCGTATATGGTGTTAACCTTTTCACACCGGAGTTTTCTCCTTTAAAACTGACCTAGAATTTTAGCTGAATTTCATGACTTAAGTGAATGAACTTCTTATGACAAGTTGCCACACGGAGTGCTGGTCCCTTTATACGGACCACTCCCGGAGAGAAAATTAAGACTAATGTAAAAAATTATAAGTGAAGGTTTAAAAGCGCCTTTCAATGTTTTTTGATATACTGATTACAATAAAAATAATGAAAAAAATGTTACATTCATATTTGACCTTGAACTTTGAAGGTCTAATAATAAAAATGCGTATCTTGGCTTAAAAATTGGTATAGCTATGTTTTATGAACCACAAAATACGATAAAAATAGTAAAAAAAATTCTAGTTGTCTCTTTGATCTTAAACTTTATTTGACTTTCAAAGTTGAAGGTCAAAAAAGTCACTAAACTTTTTTTTACTAATTTTATCGTATTCAGCGACTCATAAAATGTAGGTATACTAATTCTAGCGCAAATACGCATTTTCATTGTTTGACCTTCAAAATAATTGTCCTTGACCTTCAACTTTGAACATCAAAAAGGGTCTTTGACCTTCAAAATTAATTTTGAAAGTCAAAGAAGTAGCCAGGATTTTTTTAATATTTTTCCTAAATTTAGTACAATAAATTAACCTTATAAACATCTATTACGCTCGCTTTTTTTGTTAATCCATATATGAACCAGTCCCGGAGTGAAAAGATTAAATAATTCTATCATTATTTAACATTAATTTATTATCGTTTAATGTACGTAATGTATAAGTACTATTATTTGTTTCGAACACATAAAAAATTCTTTCTTAAAATTATTGTTAATGTTAAATATTAATTTATAATTCTAAGTTGATGTATAAAAAATAATGTTTTTACTAAATTTTGTATCATTAAAAGAATCTATTGTAAAACAATTAATATTGAAATTCTCCATAACAGCAAATTTATATTATTGATAACCCAATATAAATATCAATAACCCAATGTAAAAGCTTTGAAAAAATCACTAAAATCTCTAATAAAGTTAATACCACTATATATAAAATTTTGATTAGTTCAATATCAAAATAGAACGTACTGAAATGAAATATAACCTAAAACATAATAATTTTATTAATTATTATTCTTAGAACTTAAAAAGTGTATATCTTATTCGCCTCTTAATAATGTTTTCGAATTGCTTTAAAATAGTTGTGTATAAAAAGATTTTGTTAACAAACGTAATATATTCTTGATCTATTATTATTAACTTCTTGACTGATAATTAAAATTTTATCTTGAGTATTATCATAATTAAGAGCTTCACTTAAACAAACAAACAAAATTGAATATAATTGTTTTTCTACTACTTTATTATTCATTATGCAAATAAAATTGTTCGAAATATTCCAACTAATTTTTCAAAATATGTATATATACGTGGCGTTGTGTCTACAAATCGATTTAATCATCATCTATTGTTTAAATTCTATATACGCCGTTGTGATTGGTGGATTTCGTCGTCATCCCACCCAAAACGGACACGTAACCAGCAACGTTTCTATATATGCGCCGATTTGATCATCACTTAGTGGTGCAGATCAATTTTCCAAAAATTATTGGAAAAATAATCTGAGACATCTACTATGATTTCTCACCATCTAATGGTCTCGGACGTCTACTATGATTTCTAACACCCTAATGGTTTCGGACGTCTATTATGATTTCTGACTGATAAATAGCTT